ATCGTTAGTTCATACAAGCATCACAGAAGGTCGACAATAGTGAACTCGTGAAAGGCTTAGCCCTGCAGACATGGTCATTTTGCGTAACTCGTATTTCCTCACATTAAATGTGCTTTTTATCTCCATCCCAAATGTGTTTTTCAGAAGCACTAAACATTGTATTGCTGATTGTCACTATAGGGCCAGTAAGTGCAGACAGTGGCATGATTTCTACATACGATCTTATAAATTATGTGGTCACATAATGACGAATCTACGATTTTGGGATGAGGTCTATTATCATAGTAGCAAAGATAAATGTACTAATACCAAACCAGAACATAATTCCAAAGATCTCAAAATTTACTAAGACAGATTCTCTAAATAGTTTGGTCATTTTTCGTAGGCCTAAAAGGACCCAAAGTCTGGGTTTCAGCCTAGTGTAAGCCATATTAAGTCAACACTAAGCAGTTCATTTCCGGAAATAGAAGCAGAGGTAAGTAAACACAAGCTCTACAAAATAAGACGAAAAGTGAATCCCTATAAATTTAAGACAAGACGTTTCTGGAATTAATTATGGTTTCCACAGAGCAAAAAAACTTACTGTTGGAGAATTCACATAAACTGGGTTGATCCAGAATATATGTATGAGCTGTTTTCAGCAGTTTAGATAGTATTGAAATATAACTTACGGAAGCAAAATCCAACGAGCGCTGTGGAAACGGGGGAAAACGTTGCACTTAAGGATTCTCACATTCCTAAATTTTCGAGCAGACTGAACTCCATACTACTTCGGGTGGCATATCAAGGCACTTCACATGACCAAAAGTCTCTACCGCCTACCGAATATAGAAGCGGCCTTCAAAAATGTAGTGGACACGAAAAACCTTGATTTTATCGCCATCTGAGAAAAGCTCTAACTTCAGATGCATGTGACAGTGAAATTCAGTCGGGTTTCTAACTTGGTGCGACCAACATACTGAACAATTGAAAAAGTGGAGTCTTCCTACGCTTTTGAGGCACGCCTGTTACATGAGCTGTCGCTACGTTTGCACAAGATTCAGTGACACATGAGTTGACGAAGTTCCGGTTTAAATGTAATTGGTGAAAAATCGAATTCGGTTTTGTGTACTCTAGCCCTGAAAGTATTAAAAAGGACTTCTTCAAATCTAGTATGAAATTCTAATCAAGTGGACGTGGAAGCGTTGTAGTGTGTAACATCAACCCACTTTCTATAAACTGGAAAAACGTAGATACAGAGTCATCAGGAGCATCGTCTTATCATAATTTTTTAGAAGAAACAATTGCCCTAGCTATAGTCTCGAACACATAGTTAATACCCAAGGTATTAGCTCTCTGAAAAGCAAAGGTGCGGCCAATTCTGATTACATAAAAATCACTATAGTCAGGTAGACACGCACATTCGACGTTCCGGTAAGACCTTATTGTCTGTTCACACCGAATCACGCGTATCTCATGAAACTCCCAACAGACCAACTTCGTGAAAATGCAAAAATCGGCAAGTGGGACGACAACTCGAGGACGGCGTTCTCCACAGTTTAGTCAGTTGTCACAATGGTAAGTATGTTCGCACACCAGGATATCAAGGTGCAAATTATTGTCGCCGTTGATGCATCTCGCTCGGTAACAGGCTGAGTCATACAATAATCGGCAGTGACACCTAGCAACCTATGGTATCCTTCGTGGTACGGTTGAGAAGCACTGAATCAAGGTAGGAAGCTCTCTCTGTATCATAAATTATGCTGCTTTTGACATCCTAATACCGACTATAAACCCCTCACCGTTCCCCTAGGCTCATTTTCAGACATGAGATCGCCTCTAGAGTCTAGGCAACCAGACTTCATCTCACAGTTTGCTTCGGATATACAACATATTTCTGGTGCGAACAATTTAGTCGAAGACACCTTGTTTCGTATAATTTCTTTAGACAGTTTACAAGGGATCAGCCTTCTTAAACATACTCATATTCAAAAAGTGAACACATCACCAGCACGAGTCATTCTTGACAACCAAGACACTACGACTCGAAGATATGTAAGTAAACAAAGGTAAGTAAACTTTACTATGAGAAACGTCCAAGGGTAAGGATTATCCAATCATGCAAAAATATTATCGATGCGACTTTTTAATAAGTTGCACCGACTTGCACAATTAGGTGTTAAAACAACCACAAAGCACATTGCAGAATGATTTGACTGGCCTGTTATCACTAAAGGTGTAAACTGTCAGAAACCTAAAATGATTAAAGACAACAGGTGTCTCTCGGGTTCTGGCGCAACTCCTGGCTCTCGTTTCGACCATTTCCATCTTGCTTCGATAGAACCCCTACAAGATTATAAGTGAATCACTTATCTCTTTACGTGTGTCGACCGGTTTATCAAGTCAACCCCTGGAACCTCCATAAGAAGGACTCTACGAAATCCTTCATGGAACACCTTAGTAGAGTGTCACTGATAAGAACGAAACTGAAATTAACATAAGCATAGACTATATAAAAGCTACATACTTAAAAAGAGGCCACATGTTGACTTTCCCACCGAACAAGTGATTAACACAACGCTTCGATGACTAGCCTAAAACGATACGCTGTAGAAGAACTGTAAGTTTTCCAGAACACCTGAACGATCAGTGTACGTGTAATTTTTATGTTCTGCCGCATTTTTCGTGTCCTGCAGCTATTTGGTTGCTATGATAATTAGAAGTATTAAAGTTAATATGCTAACTAAAGATTCCCGAAATACTGCCATTTCCAGCAAATATGACTAGATAAGCATGAATGAATGTGTTGTATTTGGAATTCGTAGTCAGCGGGCGATCCAGTACAAAGGGATCATTAGTTTATACAAAAACAAAATAACTAACATTTTTATGTGCTTATATGCGTGTATACATGATTATTTGAAAAAAACTTTCGTTCAATTTTTCTCACTGATGCATGGTAAGGGGTTTTCCGCAAGCTTCTCTTGCTTTCTCAATTATGAGTGTATTTCGATGTACACCTTCATTTTCATTCTTTTTTCTAGAACCATTAAAATATTAAAAACCGACGAATAATGTGATGAATCGAAAAATTCGTTCCACAGTTTTTGTCACTACGTTGCACCGCATGGCTTATCATGATAACGAAAGACGACCAGATACTGCCGATCATGTCGAGCTGTCAGAAAAGTATTTGCCATCGGCGAGCTCGCTGTTTTTGGTTTTCTAGCTGATCACGTCTTGTGTTCACTACAGCAATAGGAGGGGTCACAAGTTGTAATGTTAAATAATTCCTCAAAACAAACAGTTCCGCCAGTTTTCGAAATTGGTGCTGAACTCCTTAGTATTGCTGGACACACCCAGCCTAAGGCGATACGACACTCATACGCAGCATATCGCGATCGAGTACGTCGTGCAACACAGCCCTGGAAACACACAGTCTGTTTAGATCACACATTTCTCGATATATCGACTATCCTTCAAATATGTCTTCAAATACGTCCATTCCTGACTTTTAGTTTGACTAAATTTCGAAACCCCGATTATGAAGGTGTTATGGACAGGGTGTTGTCGAGGCTACTAATATCTGTGGCACACTTATACCTTTCCTATAGACATGGTAATATCTCGTCTCACAGGTACATTTTACAGACGTGATAGGGTAGCTCAACTCTCATTATCATCGGTGGACACATACACTTCAGTATTTTACTCTTATTATGAAAACTGATCACATGTCCGATTTAATTAGCTCACTGAATTCTGTTTATAGAGAAAGACTTTAGACTGTGAATAATTTGGTGTCAAACTTTCCCGAAACTGTTTTGGAAAGTGGAATGCTTAGGCTAGTTCCCAGACTTTTCCACAGATTTCAGAGACGTCTGTCTGAAAGAATAGGTAGGTGTTCCTATAGGTTCAAAGAAACGTAATTAAAGTTATTTTCGGAGTTTCAAGGCTCCCATTTTACTAGAAGATATTCAAAGAGGTGACCTAACCGTAGTCAATCTTTAATTGAAGAGTACTTCAAATCGGAGCCGTCCTCTATTTTTATTATCTTCAAGGTAATTTAAGGGGCCGTCTTCAAATCTAAAACCATTTACTTGCCACCTGACTACAGAACTCCTCATCGAATCCTTCACGAGTGAAAATAGTGAACTGAAAATGGAGTTTCAGCTTCTGTTGGAGCATTTGGAAAACTTTACGAACTGAGATAACCTTACTCAGATTAGATGGTGGTTGGAGGTAGTCGACAGGAAACCCTGGACCCGGGTTTCGTGCTACTTGGCACTCGTCAGCAGGGTGAACCTCTAATCTTGAGGGAACTGGTGCTCCCTGGCGGATTCGATCTCGTGTCACCCAGCTTCACAGTCAGAGACGTTACCACTAGAGCGGAAAAAATACAGCAGAACGGACTGTAGACATACTGAAGATGCCACAGGTGTTTGGAGTTTGACAACGCTTTAACCAGTAACACCTTCTACTACGAACCGTACCTAACAAGTGAAATCAATGGATAGAAGCGAAGAGGTTTGAAGACATATTTGATAGACTATCAATATTTCGAGGATCGTCTGACCTAATCTGGCTAGCGATTGCAGGAGTTGTTGAGCACGGCGTTCCCACTCGTGACCTGGTGCGGATGCATGACCGAGTGCCTTCAGCTAGGTGAGTCCATTAAAACGAGTAAGGTCAGCATCCAACGTCGAAAACTTACAGAGCTGTTTATTTGGGGATTTATTTACCGATACAATACCTTCTACTCCCTAAGATTAGTCAAATGCTGGAATTCGCTACGGTCTGAGCTAATGGAAGCGACTTCCTAGGAGTCCTTTAGAAGGAAACTTGACATATTCTTAAGGACTAAGGACAATATCTCGCAATGATCTATTATTTATTCTTCTCTCTTTTATCGTTAAATATACCTAGTTTCCTACATTCAGGCATCGATGATCCATTGCTACTAGATACAGAAGTTCGTTAAATGAAAGCCTCTATTCCGTCCACAACTATATGAATTATTTGAAACTTCACGATAACACGTTCAACGTTGTGTTGGCGATGTAGTATGTTAGACATTGTGCACTTACTAATCAGTTGACCTTGGATATGATATGATTAAGATTACTCACGTTATATTTGACGTCGATGGTCTTATTTTGGATACAGAATCCATATACACTGAGTTCACATCAAATTTTCTTAGTGAATATAATTTACAGTTCGACTACAACATAAAAAAACTAATGATGGGAAGAAAACCTCATGAAGCCGGTGAAATACTTGTAAAGCACTATAATTTGCCACTAAGTGCTAGTGAATTTATCCAAAGGCAGTCAAAATACATTACTCCAGAAAGATGGGAAAGTGTTCAGTGTTTACCAGGTGCAGAGAAACTTATTTTGCATCTTGCTTCTCATAATATTCCTATGGCCCTAGCTACTGGTTGTTGCAGTTATGAACTTGATCAGAAAATGAGAAGTCATCAAGTTATAATGACCAAAGTATCTCATTCTGTTTGCTCTGGTGACGATCCTACTGTAAGTATGTGACCAAGCAGAAATGTGATATCCCCGTTTAACTTTCCAGAATGTAATATACCAGGGTAGTAACGAATGTATAGTTAAACTCTTCCATTCCTGTTTTAGGTTCTTATCTTTTTCCTATCACATTCCTGTACCTTTTTACTTATGTTGTACGTAACAACGGCAGGAAGCTTCTAAGCTTGTATCCGTTTTTAGTATACCAAGCTAAATATTTAGCTTGGTATATTTCTTGAATACGTATGAATTTCTTTGAAATTCGCACTGAGATCAGAAAACCAAGAATTTTTGTTATTCCTTTCGTCGTATCCTTTAGTATGTGTTTAGTCTTTTAGCTGAGTAGGATGAGAAAGCAGGTACCAGTTCCTTTAATGGCGAATCCTGAGAGTAAGTTTAATAAGACCATGGGAAGGTCTACACATCACGATTATACTCCATTCATAACTTTGGATTCTCCTGTTGTTTCTTGAGTTGTGATTACCTGGTTGGAAAAGTAATTAGGAGTGTATATATTTCTTAGTCATTTAATAGTTCATCTCTTAATTTGATAACACTATGCCTATCTAAAGCTTAGCTAACCTATTTCGTCTAACTTTGTGGAATTCATCAGTGGCCTACTGCTCTGCAACAATAACCAAATGGCAATAGTCTCCAAGCCGTCATTGTAAATAAGAACTGATGACAGGTACTTTCCGATTCTTTTATTGCTACCCTCTATTTATCTTACATGTATCGAGACACTGTTACAGTATTTTGTTAACCGTGTCTTAGACTAGCTTATCAAGATTCACCTGGATTTCTTCCGCATCATCATTTGCATTTCTCCCAATATTTTGACATCGGCGTTAAGTAGCATTGAAAACTAAGTGAAAATTAGAAGGTCATTAACATAGGATCAATAACAGCCTACTGTTGTTATTTATGGTACTTCACCAAGTACGGGTTTCCAAAAGTTACTTCAGAATTGATTCGTACTCTCATCAGCAAAAACTCGTCGATCTACCGACAAGTGGTCTGCAATCGGTTCTGAGCTTATGAACGTACTGTTCGTGTGCTCGCAAATATCCTGCTCTGGAAGCCACAATGTCAATTCCAAAATAGTTACTAGGTGATCACGTCGGATTCTTAGTATATTGCAAGAAAAACAAATTGATCTTAATAAGTCCGATGTCAAACAGTAGTTTAGAAACCCTTGTAATATCATTTTTATCCTCTGAATATTTTTACAGTATCTCACATGTACGTGTGCATAGTTATTAAGTTGTAATTAAAAAACATTTTCAACTGTATTCATCATACTCAGCAAAGTCCTTCAGATCAGGTTCACAACCCTAACATTTTCTGTAGCTTTAAAACATCTTATCATTATAATTTCCAAACTACTCACATTTTTAATTTACATCAATTTTAGGTTAAGCATGGTAAACCTATGCCGGATATATTTCTAACTACCACTAGCAGATTTAAAATTCCTCCAGATTCCTCTGATAACGTTTTAGTGTTTGAAGACTCTCCAAATGGTGTAGAAGCCGCTCTATCAGCTGGGATGCACGTTGTATGGATTCCTGATCCACGAGAACCACCTGGAAATTTTCCGAAATCAACTTCATCCATTGACATATCACGTGTCACTAGATTAAATTGTCTGTCTGATTTTAAACCTGAACAGTTTGGTCTTCCAAGGTTCGAAAACGACTCTTGATTATGTATGTTTGTCCATGTGCTTATCTTTATTGTAAAGTATTTCGAAAAATAGCTTCCCGTTTTATGGAAAATTCCGTTTGATTTTGAATGGGTAGTTCCAAATAGTTGTTCACAGTGTTTGAAGACTGTGTTTGTTAAAATCCTAATAGTTGGAATTACATAATGCCAACATGTGCCCCGGGAATCTTCCCCAACTTTCACTTGAAATTAATCAATTTGTCAATGATAAATTAGATCGAAAACTCTTTCTTACTAAATGCGTGTTTAGTCGTGTTCATATATTAGTTTGGTTTGGATTGAGCATGTGAGTCATTTGATGTAAAATGTTTTCGAGCAGTGCCATGCGAAGATGTGTCATTGTTATTAAATTTCAGTGAACAAATGAATTCTTTGGTTATAGTTTAAGCTAAATTTATCTTTCTATCCGGTATTGGAGATGGTTTGAAGAAAGTTAAGGGCGGCCAAACCAAAACGTGGCATCAGTGCTTGAAGTCACTAACTTCTAGTCTGAGCCATGTTGGTAGATGCAGACTACTTGGTTGGGGTCCGCGTGACTATCGTAACCAATGGTTGGAGAATCTTGGTGACATGGCTCAGAATCGATCACAATGGCGTCGGTGTATACACTCCCTGTCTTCCCTTAAACTAAGAGATTAAAATCGCTTCATACCTTTCTTTCTACGAACCAATTTTTTCTTGTACTATATCTCTATATGCAATCTTTCTCTTATATATTACCACCTTTGACATAACCACTGCTATGAATCCAGTGTTCATCTTGTGCTGATGCGGTATGGCAACCTGGACCGATGCACATATGTGCCTGGTCCTACGTTGTAGCTGACTGACTATCTTTCTGTTCACCATAAAACTGAAGTTACACCTGGACAGACTGAGTTTGTCAAACACTAATAAGAGCGGCAAGTGACTACAAACTCACCAACTTATAATCTTGCCAGGATCATAAAACTCAATGATCGGGAAGTGATACATGAAATCAAAAATTTCAAGTGAATTCAACATACTACTAGCCATATGAAAGGTGATGAAACAATCTCAATTCCCGATGTTCACTCCTTATTTACAAGTATACTTATTGATTCTCTTGAAGGGGCTTGGATTAAATTGGCAAATAAAACTTTATTTGTTTAGTCTCAGTCTCAGGTTTGTATAAATATCGTTTCAGTACCTATTGACGTGTTTGGCTGCTGATCTGTGCATTGGTAATATACTCAGTTTATAAATATCGATGTCAAGTTTCCAATAAATTGAGCATTGGGTAGAAAGTTAATAATGTATATCTGTATGTATGGTTCAAGTTTACTAGTACTATGTATTCTAAGGTGCGAAGACCGCTAATTCAGAAATTTAGGTTTGTATTCCAACTCTTAGATTCATTGTTGATTAGAATTAAACCGGAAAATGTTTTTAGGTGCAAATCTTATGTTTGGTTTCTTAGAATTTGTGAAGATTCGTAATCCTAATTTTTTGTGCTTATTTTATTCTTCACTTGATATGTCTCACTCATCCTGTATTTTGGTTGCTTGATTTGTCTCATAATTTATTCTTCTACTTTGGCTATTTTCTCACTTTACTATTCAAAAGTACCACGACTCAGTTGAATAATTTGGCCTAGGTTAAATTACTTAGATCACTTTCAGTTATGTTCGATGTCTGGGAATTCTGGCCAACATATGGACAACCCGAAGTGATGTCGACTTAAATTTTCACTTATTCCCTTGTCCATGTTATTAGACCGGCTTAGTCCCTAACAGACGAAATAATCAGATGCTTTCTTGTTCACTTCGACCTGACCCACGAAATATAGCGCTGCTAACCCAATTCAGTAGTTCGCTACATTATCTTGTTTTCAAATCACCCTCCTATGCATAGTAATTAATGGTATTTGAGTGGAACTAAAGTTAGACAGGTTGCTCTTTCATGTTACTGGATAGTTCTTTGTTTTTTAACAACTAATCATCGTTCTCTTTTCCTTCGATGATGTATTGTATGTTCTATGAAAACCATTACTTTGACCTGCAAGGCATTTTACATATCAGTCAGCTACAACGTAGGACCAGGCACATATAGGCATCGGTCCAGGTTGCCATACCTCATTAGCACAACAAAATGAACATTGAATTCATTGAAGCAGTTACTTCAATGGTGGTAATATATGGAAAAAAGATTGCATAAAGGATATAGTACAAGACCTACCGGGTGATCCCAGCAGATGCGAGCAATATTTCTAAGATATCTGGGATCAAACACTATTAACTTACAAGTGTCTTCTATCTTTAATGGTCACATTTAGCAGCCGTGAAGCAAAACAGAACGGACAGCTGCTCAGTATACTTGTCCCTTAACTGATGGACAGATACATCGCCTTCGCCCTAGGTGATGTAAGTTAGCAAAAACCAAACGAGCTTTTCGAATCTGTGCTGAGATTTCGTCAGACACTAACCCATTAAGGCTGATCAAACTTCCAAGATAAGTGAAGTTGTCGACGCGTTCGACTGGTAGATCAATTTCTGAACATTCAGACGACGAGAACGTTAATTCCAGTAGTAGGGCTTGCCCATCGTGATGAACCAGCCGAGCTATACTGGCTGGAACAATCGTTCCTCAAGGTCCCGTCATGCCAGACAGGCCAGTTGAAGAACGGTAAGACTAAAAGCGGCAAATCCAAGGTCTGACGGCGAAGTCATCTTGCTGACTGTGCAGATGTGTGGTGGCAGTAAGGTGTTTCCTTCAGACAACCAGCACGACAGCGCTCCTGCCTTCCCACAAGGAGGGGTGCGGTTAGAAAATGTTGACCATAATAATGCACACCTCGCCTTATCCCAAGGATATCCGTCTCCGACGAGCACTGCGGTCACACTCTTAGGTCACTAAGATCATCTCTAACCCAATTTCCTCTTCAGGTGCCTACAAAAGAACCCTTCCACGGTGTGGACAACCGGGAAGTGATAGCCGCCCTCATACCTCTAACAGCACTCAAGACCACTATATTCATAATCAACCTCCCTTTTCAATTCCTATTTTACATATCAACCAGGCATCTTACAGGTCATTTAATCCTGGGAAGTACTTGTATAAATGCTATACCAGATTGCTAGGTATCAATATTTGGTGTTCTGGTATGACCTTCAAAGACCTCTTTTTTCATCCAAAACATATTCATTCACACTTTACGAATCTTTGACACTTTATTACTCGTCACTCACTTTTTTCAATACGTGACATTGTTTACTTTGATATATTCTCAATTTGATCGGTTTACTTTGTATTTTTGTAAATTGGTATGAATTTAACTTCTACTTTAAGTTTCTGACGTTTTATCTGTCTGAAATAATCGTGGTTGTTTGGTAAATATTAGACGAAATAAGTGTGTTGTTTCGACTAGCGAAGGAATGTCCTAAGTAACAAGAATGTCTCAATTCTATTTTCCAAATGTCATGTCAATACAGAAAAGCAACTAGTGATACTGTGGTGTGTGTTACTTTTGTAGATGTAAGTAGTATATAACACCAATCAGAAGTTGAATGCCTGGCAGCAGAAGGTTGAGAAGATCGAATCGAAGAGAACGGCAACAGAGAGTATTTGTTATGGTGATGAAGAAACGATGAAGTTTGAGACAGTTGGTGGAGAATTTGCAAATAAAGTATTGAACGTATTGTTTTTCACATTTTATCAAAGAAATTTGTAATTTTGTATTAAAATAAACTGGTTGTTCCCACTTGTGTTCTCATTAATTACAATATCACCAAGGAATCAGAAGAAATAGTTACAAACGGGATAAAATGTATGAATTATGCGTTGTTCTAGATAAAGACTCGACTTTTTACATTGCTGCAGATTTGAAACTGTAGCACCTAGGTTCTCTAACAGTAGTCGGCGAATTTCGCAGAGATTCCAACTAGGAATTGTTCACCGTTCATAACTCATGTTGATCAGTAGGAGTCTTAAACTATGTGAATAGCTTCGGTTAATCCTACTAGGTCCAGTCTTGCTGTAACTAGATTGCATTTTTGATAATTGTTATTATAACTATGTGCATGCGATATTCATAGTTGGGATTCTGTTTTTACATTGATATTTTTGAAGCATTCACGTAAATTATTGTAACCCATTACTGACAACTACACTGTTCCATCCTAATTCAGCTAAATGTCCTAGCATTTTATAATCTTCCCTAGTATTCATTTTTAGAAGCAACAATTGAATTATCTCAAACTCCTGTTATCTAAGAGATAAACGTCTATCACGCATAACTCGAAAGTCGCATAAAATAAAATCGTAGAAGTGAAGCGGTATAAATTATCTCTCAAAGGAATTTCGATGATCGATTTTGCCTACTGTTCATTAGTCAGTAGTCAGGGTTATTGTTTTGTCTTTATTATAACTAAACTGTATTGAAGTCATTCTCATAAACTTGCCCCTCATTAGTAATATTATGGTCGTTAGTTGGTTTTCTAAAATAACACAAATAGATTTACATATCCAGTTTACAGGAGGTTGACACATAGATATTGATATTCTCTAAAATGGAATTTATAAATTTGTGTAACACCATTGCACATAAGTTATGTGAGTAAATCGACACTGAACAAACAAATTGTTGTACGTCTGAATGTTACAATAATGAATGCTTATAGTATAAGAATGGAAGATCTTAGGAAAATTGAATATGAAAGAATAAGTGATGACCATTCAAATATAGAGTAAAAGATCTTGGTAACAGATTGTCTGAAAAACTGAAATGTACGCTCTATGGAGTTTTCTTAACGTAGATGGGACTGGTTGACCAATGATATTTAAACCCCAACTACTAGTTCTTAATCACAGTTATAAAATTCGTCTATAATTCAGTGGCAATGTTGAAACTAGTAGGTGTAGCTTCAATATTTCGTTGGATGACTACATATACAGTCAATAAAGCGTAACTATTGGATATATTCCATCATATAAGAGTGCAAGTTATTTAGAGATCAACATTTTTCTTCAGAGTCCACACAAAAAATTCATTATACAAGAGAAGAACCACACAGAAATGTGTGATGTGATCTACAGGATAAGATATATTTGTCGAAATTGTAATTTTGTTGTTGGCATTTTAATAGTAAAAGTCTCGTAGAAACATTAAATGGCCGTTAAATATTATGATACGAAACTATTGGTTTCATTGTGCATGGACAGTTGTGGTTATAAATACTTATCGAAGAGGTTGTAGGAACAAAATATGCTAGGAAGTTATTTGTATTTGTATGAAGTGAATCGGTTGACTCACGTAAAGTTAGTTATGCCTTGTTGTCGAACGTGTGTCAGTATCATTTTTATTGTAAATTAACAGATATACACAGGATAAACCCTATAGAATTCGGAAGTTGATCACGTAAATAGGTTGCGAAATAACAATAATTCCTTGTAGTAAAGAAACGTTTGAGATAACGGACACCAAAATGACCATTATCAAACAGTTAATCCATCAATAACTTGATAATCAAAAATAAAGGTTTAATAGCAAGAACTGTTCTGTCTGATTGAATCGATCAGTCATTATGGTACAGCTGCTTCAGAGGAACAAAGTTCATTCTGGAACCAACCTAATGTTCTGATTTGAAGCAAAAAATGAAATGTATTTGAATTAACCAGGTTCAAAAGAATAATCAACTGGGATGGAAAGATTCATATAAGTTAGTGTTTACGACCACTTTACGATTCCTTTAAATTACAACGAATACAATACCCCTTACAGCTTTACTCAGAAAAATTGATTAGAGCAGTCTCACTCTCACAAACTAGTATAACAAG